TTTTTTTAACAGCGTCAAATGATGAATTCCACCGTGTAACAATAGGTATAGGAAATTTGCAACCACAAATATCATAGACCTTGTCTGAAGCAACTGTACTTCGACTTAAAAGATTCCAAAAACTACATAATTTATTAAATGCATTTTTAGAATTCATTATATAAGACTTATCAGAAATTTTGTCTACGTCAACAGTTGCAATTAAACTAAGTGTATGTGCAGAGCATGTAATATGATCTGGTAAGCATATATCATCATTTTCCATATCTTCAGAATTTAAAAAAGTGGAAAAATCTACAGTATCAAAATCTACACTAGAATAATCATTTTCTACTTCAGTATTATTATCATCACATACAGATTCATCATCAAACCAGTTATCATTATTAATATTCAAAGATTCTTGACCAATGGACTTAAAAGAATATATCCTGAATGCCTTGCCAAAATTGCTAGCATTGTCTGTTACTGTATGCGATATTTTAGAATTTTGGATATTATATGTTTGAGTTATTTCATTCATTAGTTCTGTGATATTTAAATATGTATGACTTCCTTTAATTCTTCTATAACCGAGAACATACGAATATCTAACATAAGTATGCTCATCAATGAAATGGCAAGTCATACTTAAATAACTTTTGTTATTGCAAGACCAAATATCAGCTGTAGTACATATAAAATTTTGTTTAGCTATCAAATCAGTTAAAATAGTTACGTATGATGTGTACTTGTTATTTAATTCTTTAGACATAACTCTACGATCAGGTAATGAAGTTGCATCATCAAGGCCACATAAACCTTTTACAAGACGTTTGAATGCTGGTTTTTCGCATGTCACCAATGGCCTAATTTCTTCTACAATGTATGCAAAAGTTAAGTCAGTAATCTGAAAAATTAAATTCACATACAAACATATAATAATAAATTTAAAAATAATAAAATACATGAAAAAAAAATATAAAAATAAGGTAACATACAAATTAAATTTTTCTGTATATTTCTGACAATTAAAAGTATAATTTTATAAAAATTGTAGGTAGACATTTATTTATTCTTAAGTCATAATACATGATAGATTCTATCTATTGCCATTTTAAATAATTTATATTGTTTGGTATTTAACAATTGATATTCATGTTTATTTCAAAATATTTCACTGGACAGTAACATATTGATCTATTTTATATTTTTCTACTACATTAGGTGAACAATAAGTGAATATAGGTACCACCAAATTGAAAAACAATTTAAATTATAATTTATTTTTTAATTCCTAATACAGCAAGTATTAAATAAATAGGAAAACTATTAAGTAATTTAATTAAATAAAAATTATTTTTTGAAAGTTTTAAAAATATTTTGAGATTTTGTACCTCCATAAATTCTAATTATTGACTTATGAATTTTTAAAGATAAATTGTTTTTAAACAGTTCCTAATTTAAATTTTTCTGTAAAATAATGCATCAATATCCATAGATATTATTTAAATGATGTAGGTAACTAGCAATTGTGTAAATTACTTATCTAGATATATTATGAGGTAGGTAGGTAGGTAAAATAATTGTCATTAGGTAAATAAAATCAAACGGTTAAGTATAAATCATCTATTTAAAACAAATACTTACTTTTTGTTTTGATATTTTATTTGAATGCAAGAATGGCAAGGTTTCTTGTTTTTTTATGAATTTTAAATTGTTTTTAACAGTTTTAGCAGCTTTTACTTGTTCCATCAAATGTGAATGTTTAAACTATAACAGTATAACAGTAATTATTATAATATATATATAGAGTGTATCACAATGATCTGACAAATTCAAATACAATTTTAATGTAAAATTGTCATATCTCTATGATACACTGTGTATATAGGTAAAATGGATGCAAAAACAATTATTGAATCCGACATCCTAATTTAAATATTTGGATTTTAAGCGTCAATGGGATAACAGTTAATTAATTTTATTTAAGTTATAAGTTATTTACCTTAATGTGGCTTAAAAAATTCCCAGTCGATCCTTTATGGCCATGCACAATTTTGGTACAATATTGGCACTGTGCGGATATTTTATTGTCTTCATTTTCATCAATGATTTTGAAGAATTTGCCATCAAATATGTAACATTTAGTTTTTGTTACTTCCAAATTGTGTGGATTTATTTCACACTCAACTTTTTGTTTTTTGGTGGTGTTTCGAACGATGAATTTATCCATTGTAAATTTGTAATAGATAATTTAAAATCGAACGAACAGGCGAAACACAAAAACAAAACTAAAACGAACGTTCCAGCTTTCCTGGTATAACTAGTGTCACATGCCACAAACGTATCCGTACATGTCATTTTATATTATAAATAATCTATTATTATTTATTACTGCTTTAATGAGAATTAATACGTATTTATAAATAATTATTATTCGTTCAAATTAGTAGCTATATTTATAATTTACAGTATCAACATACTAAATTACTAAGAATTACATTTATACACACTATCTATCATAAAAGTACGGAACATACTTTACTATAATAATATTATACACGAAATATATATAAATGAGGATCATTAATAATCTTAATATTTAATATTTAATATAAAATATATATACATTTACGTTTGTGTAACTTTATAGGTACCTAATTGTTTTCGGATATCAATACATTAATCTATTTATATCAACTAACTAATTGAAGAATTTAACAGATATTATTCATATATTGTATGAGTCAAAAAATATTATTGTGTACTTAATACTTATATACATATAATGAGCGTGTGTCTTGTGTGACTTATCGCTTATGGTATACCTAAACAACACGACATCATAAGTCTTAACATATTACGATTTACGACCGTATAACCAGTATCAGTTCAAATATAATTTTATTATGAGAAATAAAACGTTAATATTTAATAAACCATATGGAAAGTTATAATTACTTTATATTTATAATTTTGTTCCATTTCTATACTTCAAAGAACCGTAAACAATGAAACTGGTTTTCAATAAATATAACAAAAATTAGTAGCTGTGTACAGAAAGCATTTTTTGGAAAAAAAAATAATCCTATAATTTATTTATCTAGATAAATTGGGTAAGATAATACAATTATTCATCTAAGATAATTCATCAGATAATAAATTTAATTTATTATCTAGATAAGATAAAAGATAATTAATTATTTATCTAGATAATTTATTTAGATAATTTATCTAAATAATGATCAACACTGGGTGTAACGTATGTTTATATTTCTATAACTCCAAGATATATCAAGTTTATTAGCTAGTATAACCTGACTTCACCGAGGATAAAAACGATCAATTAATACAAAATACGACTTTTTATTGGCGAATTTCGGTTTTCGTACAACTTCCACAAGTTTCAACGCGATCGGACATAACACGTCTCAACGTCAGTGTTATTTTTCCGCACTACGCCGTAAGATATTGAAAAATAAACATTTATAAAGGAATAATTATTCAATTAACTTATAAAATTGAAATTAAGCCTAAAACTTGGTCCATGATGTACTCTTCCATTTAAAAAAAAAAAAATCGAAATAATCGGATAAGTGCGGACAAGATTCCATTTTCATATTTATACATTTATATATATATATAGAACGGTGTGTATTTTATCGTTTAAATTTCTAGGAATATATACATTTCGGTGGATGCTTGATTATTTTTTATTGATAAATTTCTCAGAACAACTGATATCTACACACAAACATTGAACACGTCAGGTTTGTACATAGGAATACAATTATTTACATGTTTATTTTAATTAATATAAATAACTTATTTGTTTATTATCTACATAAACAAATAATATTACGATAGGAACCTTCTTCGTGCTAAAATAATTAAGATAATCGGTTAAATAGTTTTCGAAAAAATTAACGTCAAAGGTTTCAATTTTTGATTTTCAATATTACAAGACAAGACAAGAAGATATAAGTATCCTAATAGCGTCCAAACATACATTGGTTCACAAAATAGCTTATAAATTATAATTAATAAAATAAACTAAATATTTTAAATACTGTATTGGATTTATTTGTATTTTAAATTCAAATACTTTATATAAATAGTTTAAAAATTCAAAATAGTTATTCGTTATTAAAATATTTAATGCGATGTACGTCATATATAATACGTCTCGTTAATAATAATTATAAATAATATACCAACTTCTGAAACCTACATGGGAAAATTAATAATAAATAATTAAATTAAATTCTGATTTTAGTGACAACTGTTTAATTACCAAATAATAAAATATTTCAAAATTATTATAAAATAAGTTTTATTTATTTTAATTTTTCAATAGTATGTAAATACATGTCAAGTATATTTTGTATATTCTGTGGTTTTAAAACTTTCTGAATGGATATATTTGTATTTGTATTTAAATATACAATCAATGTGTCAATAAATAGTCGAATATTAAAATAATAAATCCTATTAATAATAAAATTAATTTTATTAAAATCCTATTGATATAATCGAAAAGAAAAATGTTGTCACTAATTATACGTACGTATGTAAAATTATAAGTTATGGACTTACCACTTTTTTTTAAGCCATCTTAGATTAACTTTGACGATCACTCACAAATATTTTCAGTTACCTTTCTTTTAATACCATTACTCATTTTTTAACGTTTTAATATCTGATCAATCAATATTAATTTCATGATTGTAATTATTAACGTTAAATTTACTGTAGCTTATAAAAATGTCTTTTTTTGTATCGTTTAACAAAACCTTTACAACTTTTATTTGTACAATACCATTTTTCTATTTCATTTGCTAATAGCTTATGATATCAAAAATCATGTTTAAATATTCCTATAATATTTGTTTATTTTTTCTCTTAACATTTCGTATATTTCCGCCATTTACATTTTATGCTACTTATCCCATCAGACATATTCGAGATAGGTGAAAGGTAAGAAGGTTACTTTGGACCAACCGCAACTGGGCGACGCCCGTTCAATGAAATTTAAAATATGAGAGAGTATATTATCTCATCAGAGCATGATTTAAGCTGATTTTTGATTTTAAAAGCAAAGGTTAGGTTATCAAGTTATTAATTTTTTAAATAATCTGCAAATACACAAATAAATATGTTTTTCATCCGTATTACCAACTATAATAATAATAAGTTATTAGAAATTTGTATTTTTTTGACAGGATATGCAGTATAATAGTACACATTTTTTTCAAAGATTTTGATTCACACTATTGAAACCTTATGAGTTGTTGGTTTATGGTAGTAACACACATATTTTTATGTATAATGCCGATTTAAACTTAACATTAGACCCTGTTTTCTCTGAAAAAAAAAGAAACTCAAATGTGTCTATCCGTATCAACCATAAACTACAATATATCACGTATATACTATATAGTATATTGTATTTGTATTTTTGAAACCCAAGTAAGAGTACGTCTATAGTCTATACCGTACTCAACTATACAATAATTAAGTATTATCTGTAATCCGTAATAAAGGTCCCATGCAAGACTACACAACAATATATATTGAATAATACAACATAAATAATTGTACATACATGATATGGGTAAAACGTACCAAAGTATTATAATACTATGTTATATTATTTGTGTTTTATTTTTTCGTTCACTACTACATTTAATGTAAATACATGTGACATAATCCTTCGTCACAGTCAAAATGCTAGTATATATACATTACACCCCAGGAGTCATATTGTCATATCGACCAAATCTTCTTGGACGTTTTTCGACATTTTTATTGTATCCATAATACTCCCCCAATAAAAAAGAAACTAAACACACAGAGTTTAATGCACATATTTTTTTTATCGTTTTAATTCGGATACGGTCGCAATTAAGTATACCATAATATACTGTACTCGGGTACAACAGATTTAAACTCTTGTCAAATACACACACACACGGACACATACTCCACAATACAATACATTCAACTAAATCTTTCGAAAACACCTATTCTAGTCTTTTCCCGAATAATAGTAATAATAAGAAAATAACTTAACGACTCAACAGCATGATATTCAATATTTCAACATAAAATATTTATACGTTATATGTATTTTTGTCACGTGCTCCATTAGATTAATAAACATCATCGAAGGATTTTTGATTTGAAATATTTAATAATTAATGTGAAAATAATTATTTGTGTCTGTATGTTGATACGCACAGTTAGAGGGTATAGGTTCTATTTATCATTCAGTATTATGATTCATGGCGGACTTGAGTCGACCCAAAATATGTGAGCCATTTACGCCCATTATAGTCAACGTTTTGCCATGCATTGTGGAGACTTCTAGTAAAATATTACAATGTTAATTACGGTGTCCTTGGCCGTCGTCCTCTCAAGTTATTTTTCCGAGCTCATCAGATAAAAATGCACATGTGCGCACAAATTTTTTTTACCATTAAAAATAATAATAGTATTAAATTTAACAATTGTAATTCGGCGGTAGGTTAAACTATTCTTTTTCCCGTAAACAAATCTGTACTTTAAGAAAATAGAAAAATTATTAGAAAATTATTTAAAGTAATGTAACTAGCTGTTTTTATCTTATAAATCAACTACGTTTATGTTCAACGGAACGGTAATATGAGTTCATCATATACGTATGTGTAACTTAAAGATTGGTGATGGTAAGGTATAAATTATTATTACATATAAAATAATAAATGAAATATTTCTTTTAATAATTAAGTATGAAACTGGGGTTGTTGAACCTTGGAATTCATTTTTTCCTGAATTTGAGTGAAATCCTCTTGTCGAAAATTGAAATTTTCCTATGGTGTTATTGTTGTACTGCTAATCGCTATATACTAAAAGTTTATAGGTATTAGATGCTATGGGGGTGGCCTGTATGTTATAAGTAAATTTAATGAAACCTCTCTTAACGGACACCTCCGAATAGCGGACGGTTTTATGGGAACGGGGACATTTTCATTACTTTCATATAGGAAGACCCCTAAATATCGGACACTTTTATGGCAATTTAATTTTGATTTTGACAATTTTTATCGTAAATATAGAATAATCGTGTGAAAAATAAACCTTGCGAAGGCTGGACAAACAACAAAGCATGGGGGTGGCTTGTCGGACGTAAGATAAGTCAGCGATCGTCAATTATCACTGTTAATGGCGATGTAGATAAATATTAGACCTATGTATGTGTGTCGATCAATACACAGAATACTTTATTGTTCTCCAACGCGGTTGAATTAGAAAATGTCTTGATACTCGAAATTACTATACATAATAAAAC